CCCAAAAAATTAAAATTCTGTCATTAATTACTCTCCCTCATGTCGTTCCAAACGATGTTATGAAGCTACAAAAATACTTTTTGTTTACAAAGAAAACAAAAATAATGACTTTATTCAACGAATTCTTCTCTTCAGAATCAGTCCACCACCATTGCGTCATGGTACTCTTGTGAATGGCGGCAGAGGCAGACTGACCCGGAAGAGAAGATATTGTTGACTAAAGTCATTATTTTTGTTTTCTTTGTGCATGAAAAGTATTCTCGTAACACAAAAAGTATTCTCATGTTCCTTGAATGTGGTAGTTGCGTTGTTAGACTGTTGGTCTAGCCCAGTGGTTCCCAACCTTTTTTCCTTGGGGCCCCCACTATGTTGGAGCTTTAGTTGGTATGTCGGCCTAGATGTACATTTATTTTCATTAACAAAAACAGTACTTGTTTCTGTGAGTATCTATGAAAATTATAACCGCCTCATCTTTCATACATTTGTAGGTCATGATAACCACAGGTACAGCACCTCACTACCATGGTAAAAAGTAGCCTAACTATATAGTTTCTATAATATTTGCTATAAAAACATTAACCTGAAGACATTCAGTATAAGTACAAATGCACAACAAACAACTGATATGACTTAATAACAAAAATACTGTGATTATATTCCATTACTCCTTTAATATATTTAGTACATTATTAATATAATAAAATTTGATATGAATATTCTACTATTCTGCCACAATACCATGGTTACTGTCAATGTTACTACAGTAAAACCATGGTAAATGTTGGTGATTTGTAGATTGAAACGCCTTCTAACTGGATCGTTGATGCACAGGTGTTTCCGCATCAGTTGTTGAGAATGATCCAGCTCTGATTTATTTGGCTTTAAACTAGTTTAAATCGCATACCTATGTGATTTGTACAGGAGAAATCTGCGGTGAACTCGAGCGCGATCACTAGATCTCACAGTGCTGTTTAGTGTTCTCGACTCGATTGCAACTGGTCAGTGTAGTAAATTAATTTGCTTTAGCTCACACGGCGCTGTCTTTTCTTTTGAGCTGAGCTGATAAAATGTCAGTGCGACGCGCGGTTTCAAACAAGAAGCGCTATTTTATTTCGGATTTGGCACGTTTGGCGTTTAATACGTATTTATCATGCACAACAGAATGCTAACGCTTATCAGTATGGCAGATTGGTTGTCACAAATCAGGCCTCTGTGGCTCTCTCCGACGGCCTCCGGAGGGCACCCTCTCCCGAGTACTAGCGTTCATGGACTACATTTCCCATCGCTCTATGACAAGGACAAAGCACAGCTGCGGCTTATGCTCTCTCATTCTGCACCCTCGCAGCACAGTCAGGATGGGAGGACGAACCACTTAAACTACTGTATCGCAAGGGACTCACGGGCGAGCTACAGTCAGAGCTCGCCTGCCGTGATGAGGGGAGGTCCCTGGAACAGTTCATTGAGCTCTCCATCCGCATAGATAACCTGATGCGGGCACGACGTCCTTCTCGTTCATTTCCTGTGTATCCTCCAGCGGCCACAGCTCCCGTTGAATCGGAACCCATGCAGATTGGTTTCACTCGCCTCACGAATGAGGAACGAGAGAGAAGAATTCAGAATCATCTCAGTCTGTACTGCGGTTTTTCCGGCCATCTGAGAGCCTCCTGTCCTACTCGTCCTGCCGCTCGAAGTTCTACTACGGTGAGTTCTACTCCTGATCCCATTAACTGTCTAGAAGTTCCCATTGCTCTAATGTTTAATGGTAAATGTACGGAGACCTAAGGTTTGCCAACACTCATAATCTCCCTCTTGTTCCATGTGAATCCCGGGTGGCAGTGGCAGCCTTAGATGGACGTCCTCTGGGCACAGGACAGATCAAATTCATAACCCAGGACCTGTGTCTACGAACTGGCATACTTCACACCGAAACTATCCGACTCTTTGCTATTGACTCTCCTCTGAATCCCATCATCCTTGGCCTGCCCTGGCTAGAAAGACACAACCCCCGGATCTCATGGACAACTAAACAGATTCTACAATGGTCTGACTCCTGCCAACAGAATTGTTTGCTCACCAGCCGATCGCACTCCTCTCCCCGCCGAGCCCAGATAACAGATAAGACCAAGTAAGACCAAGGCCTCACAACTTCCTCCTCACCGACTCAGTGACTGCGCTATCGATCTTCTTCCAGGATCAAACCCATCTAGAAGTAGAGTTTTCCCACTATCGCAACCAGAATCTGAGGCCATGAGGGCATATATTGAGGAGGAGCTGTCAAAGGGGTTCATTAGACCATCCACCTCACCTGCGTCAGCTAGCTTTTTCTTTGTCAAGAAGAAAGAGGGAGGTCTCCGACCATGCATTGATTACCGCAGTCTCAATGATATAACAGTCAAATTCCGTTACCCTCTTCCTCTAGTCCCAGCAGCTCTGGAACAACTTCGCACTGCTAAATATTTCACCAAGCTTGACCTTCGCAGCGCCTACAATCTGATTCGCATTCGGGAGGGAGACGAGTGGAAGACGGCTTTCTCAACGACGTCAGGGCACTATGAGTACCTCGTTATGCCGTTCGGCCTGGTCAACAGTCCTTCAGTCTTCCAGGCTTTCATTAACAATGTTTTCCGGGACATGCTGAACCAGGGGGTCATAGTCTACATCGATGACATCTTGATCTATTCGGATACCATGGAATCACATGTGCAGCACGTGCGGGCAGTTCTTCAGAGGCTCATTGACAACCAGCTATATGCCAAGATGGAGAAATGTGAGTTCCACCAGACAGTTACCTCTTTTCTTGGTTACATCATTAGTGCTGAGGGGGTAGCTATGGATAACAAGAAAGTACAGTCTGTGCTCAACTGGCCTCAACCGACTACTGTAAAGGAACTACAGCGCTTCTTGGGATTTGCAAATTTCTATAGACGTTTCATTCGTGACTTCAGCACCATTGCAGCACCTCTCACCTCCATGCTAAAGGGAGCCCGACCCTCGCTTTGTTTCTGTTTACTCTCCTGGATTATCCCTGCTACTCGTGACGCTGTTGATTAATTACTGCCTGTCTAACTCTGCCTTTAATTCAAATAAAAGCTGCAAATGGATCCGAACGCCTCTGACTCCTCGTTACATTGGTAGTGGCACCAGCGCGACCTCTAACCAAATTTAGTGTCACCGGAAGAAAAAAAAGGTCCTAAATATCCATTTAGTTGCAGTCTGGAGCCCAGACTACTGTCAATTACACTTTTATTTAATTGTTTATTTTATTTAATTGCCTTATCTTGGCATTGTAAGCATATGATTTAAAAAAAAAAAACATTTTTATATAAAATTATTAGTGGAACATTTTATACATCTTTATTTGACCTCAAAGCATATCAGCTCCCACGCCCCGGTGAACTCTGGTGCCCCTCACCCCAGGTTGGGAACCACTTGTCTAGCCAATTTACAACGCAGACCCGTTTAGGCCAACTATTGACTATTGAAACCATCAGAATCTGGGATTTTTTGCAGGGTTGGCTTGTTATTCCATATGGCAGGGGAATGTAATTCACAATTTCGGTTGGTATGTCCCAGACATTTCCTTCATACACACCCTCTGCCTTGATTAGACAGATATTTTCTGAACATGGAGGATT